TATTGCATGAAACTGGTGCTCTGCTTAATAATTTGCAACACCCTCCTTTAGTAGTTTTTCCTTAAATTGGGCTCACCTGGCAATCTAATTATCACAGGTGTCAGAGATTGTTTTCAGTGATCAAAAGAGCCCTGAGACACAATGCCATCCATGAGTTAAACTGAAAAACAAAATATTTAATCTTTGTGACACTTAAATAGAATTTGCAGAATAATTTGGAACAGGGTGTATATGCTAATAATAATAAATAACAACAACAACAACAACAACAACAACAACAACAACTGCAAATAAATAAAATAATAAGAACATGGAAATGGAAAGTGCAACCCTCACTCACACTATATCCCACAGGCATCTGGATGTTTGTTTGTATATTTGAAATTTGAGTAAACAAGGCAAGGAAGGAAGCATTACATTACAAAATGTGTTTCTTTAATATCATTATGTTGCTTAGCTTGTATTTTAAAAGGAACACTATAGTAGTGTCAAGAACAACAACATATTTTCCCGACACTCTAGTGCTGGTGTGGGTGTTCAGTTAGCCAGCCTTGCTTGCCCTGAAAAGGTGAAATTACGCAACTTTTTCCCCCGCACTGGTCTCGCCCCAGCTGGCCCCACCTCCATGGCTGAAATCATCAATATGTTCTTGATGACCTCAGCCAACCCAATGCAATAGACAAAGGCTATTGTGTATACGCAGCAAAATGCTACACTGTGCCAATCAGCATCTGCCCATAGAGGTGATCGAATGCATTTCTATGGGGAAACTTCAAAGCCTCCACGCAGACCATAATGTGAAGCATTGACACAAAAAGCACATCTTGATGTTGCCATTGGAGATGTTACTAGGAACCAACACAAACACTGCCTATTCTCTGAAATCATTGCATTTAAATTTAAAATCTTGGAGGAACAAGCTATAGACACCAGACTCACTACACTAAGCTGTAGTTGTTCAAGTGACTTTAGTGCCCTTTAAATGTATGCAAGTTGCTCTCTTTATCGTCTTACATCATGCATTCTTTGATGTCTTGCTTTGGTGCTAAATTTTTATAGATCATGATTTTACAAGCCCGAAACAAGAGATTACAAGTATTTCCTTACAAGTAAACCAAAGCAGGGGGATTTAAAAAAAATAAAAATTAAATAAAAAGTATACCAACTTAGAACAAAGAATCTACACATGTTTAGGTTTCAGTACTTTGGTTTGACAAAGACATTTTTAAAGGGACACTTCAGGCTACAAAACAACTTAATCTGAATGAAGTTGTTATAGTGCCAGGGGGCTTCTGGAGGCACTCTTATTTTAAGAGGTTAAAAGGCTCTCAAACTGTTTAACCACAAAGTTGCCTCCAGCTACGAGGTCCACTCCTCCCATGGCGGCATCCGGCTTCTGAATTTTCTAATTCAAGAAACGCAGAGTGCCACCAGGAAGGTGCGCCTCTGACGCTCTTAGCCAATCAGTGACACCCCATTGACAAAACTGGCTTGGAAAACGTAAGTTTCTTTCCAAGCCAGTTTTGTGAATGGGTAGTCCCTGACAAATGGTTAATGCTTGTTGGTGTGTTCCCTCTGAGTAACATTTGGCAAATCAACAATATGCTCAATGATATACCAAGCACATGAAACATCCATTATCTGCCTCACAAACTGTGTCATAAATGTGTGATTTTTCCAGTGTGCAAAACATTGCTAAATTGGTGAGCGGTGTAGAAACCCCAATCTGCATTTGGACAATCACATAAAAACCATGTCTTTTTCCGCACCAGGTCCTCAGTTTTATTTAAATTGCTCTTTTGGAATGACCATAATCTTAAATATGTTTAAGATATAGGCTTTACATGTTTGTTCAATTGAATAGTTAAAAAATATTAAATAAACATTACAAAGTTATAAAATAGCTATAGATTATTTTCAATTCTGGTAACATTTCCAGAGGTTTGACAATTCCCTTTAAATACAAGAAATTGTTCAACTTCAAAAACACAACATCTTTTTATGAGATCTGGCATATAATACTGTACACAAATAATGACCACCAATATTCTGTGAAACTATCATTTTATTAATACTTTGCATTAATTTGTGTTGAGAAGTACTCAATCAATACGTGGTTTCAACCAGACGAACTCTGTTTGGAAAGCATTTGTAAAGCATAAGTGCTGTGGTCTTCATTAATAATTCAATGTCATTCTAATTTATGCAATAAAGTGTTATCAGCCTGGGTAGCAATATTGTAAACCTTTGGATTACTCTACATTAGAAGCACAGGACTCTCACTGGCTTCAACAATGTAAAGTCTTATGCTGGGTTCCAAATATCCCTATTAACCATTTCAATTCCAGAATGAAAGGTGGTGTTTGTCAAAACTTTCACTCTTCATATTTTTATTACTTTAAATCCCATATAGATTTATTACGATGTGACATTATACTGAAACTAAAAACATTGCAATAACCTGCGCTATTTAGCAGGCAGTAAGCAGATGTGAAGATGTTGAACAATTATCATGGAATTCCATGATGGCGCATCAAAGTTTATAAAATAGAAAGAAATCCTATCCTCAAATGGTAAACAAAAAAATACTGATCAGATAGTTTAAAATAATTGACAAAAAGAGAGAGAGTTGTTTTAAAGGTTCTATAATGACACATATACCAGTGCAGTTTTGAATAGCTTTCATTTTATCTATAAAGGCACAAACCCAAACAGCTGACAAATAGACAGACAGCAGGATATAGATGTTTAGGCTAAATGCTGTATTATTGAAACATTCAAAGGCCATTTGTAAGCCACTTTATTTGTAAGACACATGGACTTGTCTAGAATCTGTAAAGTGGACATTTTTCAGCATTTAACAGCGGCGAGAGTTAAATTTGTAGGATTCACTAATCATTTGTTTGAATTGCATTCCTTTCACTCAAATTCATTCTGGTCCCCATAAAGCACCCAATGGAATTTACAATCTGTTTGGACTTGCATGCCTGGTTTACACATGAGCTTAAATCCCAAACTAATCTAGCTTGGAGGTAAGAAAATGATATATTCAAATATTAAATGGCTTTCCATGGGAACTCTCTAAAATATGAGGGTGATGCGTATATTTTAGAACACGCAGACAAGAAAAATCTGTTTTAGTGTAGTACATGTAAACAATGTTATCTTTCTCTCATACAGTGAGATACTGGCTTTAGCCAACAACCTGATACATTCAGATTAAAGATTTAAGTGGTAGGAAGGATGCAGCAGTTGCTCACTGCCATGGTTCTCAAAGAGTTTAAAAAAAAAAAAAAAAAAAAAAAAAATCACACACTGAAAATGCATGATTCAGAGTGTGATATTAAACTGTACTATAAAATCTACAGTTCTTATTCAACTCTTGTATCAGTACATTGGCCATTCAATCACAACTGAAGGGAAGCCACACTTGAAAGCACAAATAAGTGAATATTGACATTCGATGAGTAAAAGGGTGAACAGAAGGACATTGAGTAAATAAACATTTATATTACAAACGGCAGGACTGGTTAGACACGAAATTGGATTGATGTGATAGCTGGCAGCTGGGGCGCAGCATACAAATATATGAAGATGTTTCAATGGAATAATGAAATATATAAGAAATGTGGAGTTTAAACATAAAAAGTTTTTAGCATGAAGAAATAAAAAAACAACAACAAAAAAAACATTGTTTGAGAGGATTGACGGGAGGGTAAACCATTTATACAAAACAACGAAAAACATTGATGTACAGTCGAGTTCCCTGTCAATGGCAATCACAGACTTCAATCCACAGAGGAATGAGAGGAATGAATTGCCCCAGGCAACACACAAAGCGCCCTGACTGTAATAGTTGCATAGCTAATGATTTAGCAATAAATGGACTCAAAAAGAAACACACAGTTCAGGTGCAGAGCAGCACTCAGGTCGAAATCTAATAAAGAAATAAACAATCAAGGATGGGAGCTTGCAAATTCATTTTGGTGGAAAACGACTTAATAGGTTTGTTTAACGTAGAAGTGTTTAACGTAGATATTTGACTTAAATTCAAAATAAATAAATAGAAAATAAGAAAACCGTCTACAATCAGAAGTGAGAAGTAAAAATCAATTCTGGAAATAGCGATAACATTACCATGGGACTGTGTACAGGATGTGTCAAGTTCCTAATGCTTGGTCACTTTGTTCTCAGCCCCACTTAAATACCTACCTGCACTTGTGTGTCAATTATACCTGGCTGAACATAAAAAGAATTAAAATGAACTAATATATGGGTGGTTAACACCAAGCAAATATTGGTATATTGTGCCCTATATAATTACAATGTAAATAGCAGATTTAAAATAAGCTATTCTTTGGCATGTTATATTCAACGAAAGGGTAGAAAAATTTAAAAACCTCACATTGCAGTGCTTATGTCTCTGGGAAAAGTTTCCCACTTTAATGCAGAAATGTAAACTGTGCATGATAACTGTGTCCAAGGAAGGGGTGGCCTATGGGTGTCAAGGAAAACTTTGTTGTTTTGTCAAACTGTTCCCACACTTTTTGACAAAGAACAGCAAACATTTGCCATGATACCAATAAATATCTAACAATAAAAGAGGTATGTCCAATCTATGCAAAAAAGGAATTTGGAGCACACTCAGAATATGCATTGCTCACAAGCCTTGCTGCCTTAAAGACCAACATTTATATAAAATATAGATTAAGGAAAAGGGCGAACACAGATTTCAAGGCTACTGAAATTCCACTATCTTAGCAAATAGATATGGGGATTCAGTTCCACCATATGGCCAAATTGTGTTAAGCCCACCACTACTTCACCAGAATATTGGTGGATCCTACTCAAATCTAACATGGGAGACAAACCTGTTAACTGCAATACTTACTGCTTAAAGGCTATACCATAGGCGTGCGCAGCCTATTGCATTAGGGTGTGCACCCTAAAGCACAAACACACGCCTGTGTGTGTGTGTGTGTGTGTGTGTGTGTGTGTGTGTGTGTGTGTGTGTGTGTGTGTGTGTATGTATATATATATATATATATATATATATATATATATATATATATAAACACACACACACACACACACTGCTGTGTGTGCTGTTAGTGTGCTGTGTGCTGTTAGTGTGATGTGTGTGTGAGGGTGCGTGTTTGTGACTGTGCTGTTTGTGTGTGAGGGTGTTTGTGTGTGTATGTTTGTCCTGTGAGGGTGCTGTTTGTGAGGGTGTTGTGTTTTTTTTAAAGGTGCTGTGTGTGTTTGTGAGGGTGCGGTTAGTGCTGTATGTGTGTGTGCTGTATGTTTGGAGGGATTTGGCAGATTAGTAAATCCTTGCTGCCATGTGCCATCCCTGGTGGTCCAGTGGAGAGTGAACTCTAGCCTGCTGGGCTAGAGTTAACTCTCGCGAGATCTGAGCGTTGCTGCAGCAACCTGGCGGAGCTTCTGTCTAGAGCAGCCTGGGTCCTCTACTGCCTCCCTCCATGTTGCTGTGGGCCGGTGAGGTAGATCTTTGGTCTCCCCGCCGGCCCATGAAGGCTTAGAGCAGAGCCGGCACTCAGATAGCGCCGGCTCTGCGTGTGTGTGTATATATATATATATATATACTATATATATACTATATATATATATATATATATATATATATATATATATATATATATATATATATATATATATATAATATTATACATATTATATATATATATATATATATATATATATATATATATATATATATACATATATACATACATACACATACATACATATACATATATACGACACACACACATACACAGACACACACACAGACACACACACACACACACACACTCACTGACACACACACATACACAGACACTCACACACACACACACACACACATACACAAATTATTATATTTTAATTTAAAAAAAATGTCCACCCAGCCTCCTACCTGGAGTGCTGGTGGACTTGTCCCTGGGGTCCAGTGGGGGCGGGCGCCTCTCTGCAGCTCAGCGGCGAGGGAGCTGTGTGCTGTCTGCTCTTTGCTTCCTCTCGCCGCGCGGGCTGTCTGCTGGAGCTGGGAGCCGGAATATAACGTCATATTCCGGCTCCCGGCATCAGCGCGCGGCGAGAGGAAGCAGAGAGCCGACAGCAGAGAGCTCCCTCGCCGCGCGCTGAACGGGTGGGGAATCCATCACCTCTTGCCCCCCCCTATGACAGGGGCAAGAGGTGAAACAGGGGGCACTGAGTGCCTGCAAGAACAGCGTTCCTGCTCAAAAAAAGTGCAGGAACGCTGTTCCTGCAGGACTTAAACCATAGGCGTGCCACGGGGATTAGGGTGTGCCCAGGCACACCCGGCACACCCCGTGCGCACGCCTATGGGCTATACAGTCAGTCAATCTATATACAGTCCACATTTTGTCGTGCATGCACAATAGCCTCCCAATGCTCTTCTATGTAAAAACAATGGATTCACTGTGATCATGAAGTTTAATGATCTCAAGCCAGGTGAGATGAGACCAATGTGGCAGGGGAGAAAAGGTGAGTAAAATCACCTTTTTACGGTGATCGGAGGGGGACTGGTCACCTAAAGAGAAACTTCAGGACTATAGTGTCTGGAATACAGGTTTGTATTCCTGACACAATAGCGTTCTTTTAATGTTTGTCTATAAATAGTGTGAGAAAAATGTTAACATGACAATTATGATCAAAATAATGAAAGGGACACTCCAAGCACATTGACCATTAGTTTATTGTAGTGGTTTTGGTAAAAGTAGTCATAGGTGCAGCCCTTCTGATTTATGCCAAAATATTTTCAGGAAATTTGACATCAGGAGGATTCCCAAAACCATTATCTTGCAGAATGATAAATTATGAAATGTCACTTCCTCATTATCTTTCCAAATATTTGTATGTTATGAGCATGCATTGCATAGTCACTTTATGCTATAAGAACTAATGTGCAGTATAACATTATATAGAGGGCGAGATATTTTTATAATATAAATATATAATCATTAATCCATTAACCATCATACCAGAATACAGAAATGGTTGGCTTCTTTTAAAATATATATCAATATGTAAAACAGATCTACCTTCCCAATTGGTCTCATGCAGCTTCTAAAAATGGCCTCACAGTGAATTATACACTGTGGAGCCTAGCTTGTATTCAGGAAGTTGTCCTCTTCAGTATGCTGCTACTGAAGTAGCTTACAGTTTAAGCGTCTGTAGAGGTAGAAGAAACAAGCAGCCTTACAGCATTGGCTTGCAACAATATTAGAGATAGGACCATCTGGAGAGAGCCTATCTTCTCCATCAACAGAGGCTCTACTGGGACTTATGCACTAACTGTGGTAATAGAATCAAAGTCAGTCTACTGTTAGCAAGAAGTGAAGGGAATGAAAATAAAGTTTGAGCATTCTTTTCTCTGGTTCCATGCTGGCATGGAATCCTGGTCCCTCAGCCATCTAAACTAGAATGGGAAACCACCACAGTATGGTTTGAGATTCATGACACATGAAGAAACCCAAGGCACAGATCTATGCTTACAATACCTGCATCACTATCAAATTCATTAATCAACACATTTTATTTAGGGACAGTGACATTTGGCACCCACGATGTGCCTGCACTGCATTTCCCATGATACTCCAGTTCAAGTATCATAATGTAATATTTCGCTAATGTCAGGGATACCAATTAGCCAATCACTCCACTATTCTCTAACCTTCTACATTTTTAATAATAATATTTATAAGAAAAATAAAAATAAAGAGCACTCTAATACACGCATTAATATGTGTATGTAATACAATTAATACATACAAATTATGTTACATGTTATTGCAAACAAGAACGTATATAGATTACACAGGTGTAGAATGATAGCGAAGTTTGCAAGCATATAAAGAAAATATTAGATCAAATCCTCTTAATTGTACTCTCCTGCTATCTTTTTGGTGTTTAACCTATTGCCATGCATCAAAAACATTGCAAAAAAAAAAAACAAAAAAAAAAAACACACAACAACAAATTATATATATATATATATATATATATATATATATATATATATATATATAAAAAAAGCAAATACATTAGGGGAAAACAATCTTTTCAGACAAAATAAAATAAAGTATATACAGCACATCAAGATATTGGCAATAATACTAAGCAACTAAGACATCAAGATAATGAGAAAAGCTAAAAAGGAAATAAAAAGGGGGAGAAGTATGTAAATAATTCACAAAACAATGTAGGCAAGGAGTAACCTTTGATGTTATCCTACTGAATTCCCAATTAATAAAGTAGTCACCAACAACTGTGTCTTCAAAAATGGTTACTGCATTGAAATTGCCCACTATGTATGTATGTATGTATGTATATATATATTTTTCAACTTCCTGTTTAAGCAATCATGTCTTTTTAATGCATAATAAAAATATGACGTAAGTAGTAAGGGAAGAGATTAAAGGGACAAAACCAAAACAAAACAGGAAGCTATAAACGGACTATAACAATACATCTAAATCTGTAACACTGCAATTAGACAGCAGCTATATAGATAAGGTGAGAAGCCGAACTTTTGTTTTGAATGCACCTAGCAAAAAAAGCTATTCATTTGCGCAGGTGTTTTCCAACAAGGCTCTAGTTTTAGTACATGAAAAGAAAACATAAGACAATAGAGTGTATTTGTGATTAAAGGATTACCAAGATAAAACCAATTTCCCTACAAGGCCATTTCTACATGAAGAGACAAAATGATAATCATACAGTTTACATTTGACAGAGGTCAATGGATATATTGTGGTCCTTGGATGGATCGTTCCTACTGCCTATTTTCTGCTCTTTGTGCATGCTGTACAGTTAAGCGTTGGTCCCCACAGATATACTAAGGAATGTTAGTCTAGTCTTTTTGCAAATGTAAATGATTTTATTTCCACCATATCGATTTTTTACATGTAGGGATGACATGATATATGTGACGAAATATATGATGTATAGCATGATTGTTGTGTACTAAAGTTTTTCATGTTCAAAAGACAAAGTCAAATGTAGGCCCTGTGGAATCTGTCATAATCAGAATACTATTTGCCTGGTCAGAGGGCTAGGAAATGCACGGAAGCCCAGAATTAAACCAAGCGCTCAGGATTGGCCCTATGTTGTTCTTTTATATTAATTCTTTCAGTGCATTTCTCCATTTAACAGTCACCTTCTGGTGCAAAGGGGGAGATTTTTATTTCTATTCCAGTGCTAAAGATTATCCATAGTTAATTTTTTTAGGTTGTCATCTTATTTGTGCATATTTTCTTTCAATGTTTGGTTTTGTCAGAACACTAGAAATGTCAGAGTAGCATTGAGTCCATATGAATGGAGGCCTGAAGTCTGAACATTTTCTGTTAGATGCCGTAACCCCCATAGCTAGCAGTGGTTACTAGATATTATGCCAGCCTCACTTAACGAAGATGCAGGCTTGCTCAAAATCCTTGTTTCAGGAGCATAGCCCACAACATAAATGTGTTAATGTAAAACTTTGAATTATCATTTGCAAAAAAGTCTAGAAAATTAGTAGTTCCTACTTATGTCTAGATGCAAGTGAAAATGTAAAACTGCATTAGTAGTTGGTGGTCATATTAAAACTGTGCCTCTGATCTACCCATCAGCCAAGATGAGAAAACCAAAATTAAAATTATTTGTAGATTACTATTCAGACATTTTTTATTACGTCTTTTATGATCTGTGTATGTGAAAAGACTTCATGATCAGAATACACAATAAAAAAATAGGGTGGAGCTTTAGTTAAGCTCTACGTCCTTTGTCGAGTTTGGTATTGGCTTTTTACTTTGTGTTTGATTGATATCTCCTGTCCTGTTGTGTTTTATACCCCCACCTCCTATAGACTGTAAGCTCGTTTGAGCAGGGTCCTCTTCAACCTATTGTTCCTGTAAGTTTTTGTAATTGTCTTATTTATTGTTAAATCTCTGATAATATTGTAAAGCGCTTTGGAATATGCTGGCGCTATATAAATACCAGTAATAATAATAAAAAAATAATAATAGTTCCCTTTCCCCACCAGTTCTCTGTGTTGACTCTTTCAGGATCCCAA